AGAGAGAGAGAGAGAGAGAGAGAGAGAGAGAGAGAGAGAGAGAGAGAAGCTTTCCTAGAAACACTACAGCTGACTTTCGCTGGCATGTGACAGAGCAAGCTGGCATAGATTGCATATCAATTACCAAATGAGTTACTTAGTAGATAGAATAGAATTGCCATGATCACCTTACTGTATTCAAGATTTCTCCAAGCCATGTGCGATATAGAACAGAACTGAAGGTAGGCTGTAAGAAGGAAGGTTGGTAAGTAGACAACCAGTAGCAAACTACATATTAACATAGAAAAGTTAAATTTTGTCATTGTCTTCCAGAGTTAATTTTCCCACTACTGTAAATTATTCACAACACACTAATAATGGAAAATATTGTGAGAATTCTAGAGGGGTTTTTTTGTTTTTTTTTTTAAAGGGAGGGACTCTTAGAACAGACTGAAGGAAACCCTTGTATAAATGCTATTTACATTAGAAAAAATGTCAATTTTAAGAAAATATATGTGAGACTGAAATAGGAAAAATTACTCTTAATTTTGACCATATACAATGAAAGTTTTATCTTCAAATGTTTCCTATTTATCTTCCCTCTGAAAACCAACCTCCTTTCTGCATCCTTGTGATCATAACTCTCCGCTTTTACCTGATGATTGGGGCACCTGGGCTTATTCTGTAGTTCAACTATTGCTAGTGCTGTGATAATGGTGGCTACGCAGTGTTTCTGTTATATACCATCTTTGACTCCTTTGGGCGTTTACTGCAGAGTGGTATATAAATGGGTCATATGATAGTTCTATTGTTATTTTTTTGAATAACTTCTATCTACTAAGTAACTTCCATGTTGATAGTGGCTGAACTAGTTTACATTGCCATCAACAGTATGTAAGAGTGGTCATGTTGGAGTTGAACATAGCAGCCCAGCGGGAGGAAGAGTCCCAAGAGTCAGAGTTCTCACAGTCAAGGGTGCCATAAAGAAATAAGCTAATAGCTATAATATATACACAGAGGACCTGGTGTAGACCCATATGTGCCTTGCTTAGTTGATTCAGGGGGGCCTTGTTCTCCCTCTCCATCATCTCTGGCTTTTCCAGTCTTTCCCCTCCTCTGCAGGATTCTCTGAGGTCTGAGGGGAAGAATTTGGTGACCTTCCATTGAGACTCTCTTTCTTTCTTCACATAATATAATGTTGTGGGTTTCTCTATCTTATTTTGGATATGTTAAAATTTTAATTTGCCAGCTTTTGCTTAAGAATGCGACTATATAAAAATTACTTGTGTAGGTATCTTTATATTTCTGTTAGATCATATTGGTCTAAGATTGAGTAGCTTATTCATGCAGTACAAGTAGTGTTTTTAAATTTTGAAACCTTTTCCCCCAAATGTGAGAATGAGTTCTGATCCTAAAAGCTCCAGCTAGTTATTATTGGTTCAAGAGGCGAAACAAATAAATAAATAAATAAAAATCAGTAAGTTAAAACAAGAAACCTAGCAGTGAGGTTTGTGGATAGCTTTGTTAAAAACAATTGGAAGGTTCTTTACATGCCAGTTACAGTTAATGAATTTGTATACTGTTCACTGCCTCATGAATGTGTGGTCTGTATTTCCTGTGTAAGCCTCTGGTATATGATGTTGCCTTTCAGTGTCTTGTGTTCTTATACTGGTTATTTTTCTTATTTATGATATAGCAGCCTGCTTATATTGTATGTCTTAGCAGATGAAAAATTTTATACACACGCAAACACTATTTTCTAGTTTTTTTGATGTGCTGTGCATAGAAGAAATAAGACTGAATATTTGTTCAATCAGTGCTATATAATTTTTTAGTAAATATCTTTAAAGTGGGTATTCTTGTTCAATGTGGTTTTATTTGTGCTTCTAGAGTATTATAGTAGTACCGATATTTAACCCTTCATTTCCCAGTCATGCTGTAGATGCTGACATAGAGGCTTTAAATAAAATTTTAAATTTTTGTAGGATAAATTTTATGTAGAGAATGATTAGGGAGCCAGGTGGTAGTGTCACATGTTTTTAATCCCAGCGCTTGGGAGACAGAGGCAGGCAGACCTCTGTGAGTTCCAGGACAGCTGGAGCTATATAATGAAACCCCGTCTTCAAATCCCTCATCTCCAAATGGTTGGGAAAACCTTCAGTGTAAAAGTTGATCTAAAACAAGAAATTGGATGCAACTTCTTTAATCAAAGTAGATGAACTTACACCAAATACTTTGAAGCAAGTTAAAAATTATTTCTATAAAAAGAGGTACTATTTTAGAGAAGAACCCTGAAAATAGGCAATAAGATGTTATTATAATTTTATTTTTATATGTTTCAAGTGTTAGGATGATATATTTGATTTAGCTATATAGAGATGGATAACATTTATATGTTACAAAATTTACCTATAAAACATTTTATATATTTTAAAGTAACTAGTATGTTGTGGTCAGGTGCCAGCCCAGACTATAAATTATTTCTCTGGACCAGAGGGGAGGCATGGGATTAAAGACTCAACTCACATCGCTTTATTGGGAGGGAGATTTTCAGTGATCCCTCCTGAAATCCTACGTTTACATCCTGAAAATTCTCACCCGCATTTATTCTCCAAACAGCTTTTATACCAAAACTTTTATACATAAACTGAGGAGGGAATTCATTAGCATTCGGTTTCCTAGGTAACCAGGTGAATGTCTAAGGTCACGTCCACACCTATCTATACCTGCTCTCTCACGGTTTTCTATCTTCCTGTTCTGTACAACAGCTCTGTAGCTGAATATCTCTATCCCAGGTGTCCTCCAAATTACAAAGAAGGAGCAGAACAACATTAGCATATGCTGACCCTTTGTTAGGTTTGTCAGGAAAGACTAAGTGACCTTCTTCTGTGTGATCAGGTGCAAACTATGGCCTGAGAGTCTGGCCGCCATACAATGTAGACATATGGGCCTGTATAATATATGGCCCTACACTAGTAGAAGCAGACATGGTGGCATGTACCCAGAGTTCCATCTGCTAGGGAAGTCAAAGCAGGCAGATCTGTTCAGTGCTGGAGTTCTAGACTAGCCTGAGCAACATAGCAAGATCACATCCTTCCCCATGGAAGATTAACTATTGAACCCCATGTGAATGTTGGTTCTTCTCTACATGGATACTTAATTTTCAGTAATTCTTGTCTATAATTTCTGGCATTCTTACCTATATTAAGTCCCCCTTCCTATGATTTAATAAGTAAATTGGCTTAAACAAATAGTAACATTGAAATGCTCATTCAAAAATAACTGGGGGGGGGGGACAAAAAAATAACTTACACCGGGTGGCGGTGGCGCACGCCTTTAATCCCAGCAGTCAGGAGGTAGAGCCAGGAGGATCTCTGTGAGTTCGGAGCCAGCCTGGTAGCCTGGTCTACAAGAGCTAGTTCCAGGTCAGGCTCCAAAACTACAGAGAAACCCTGTCTCGGTGGGGGGGGGGGGGGGGGTGGGTGGAACTTACTTACAAATAGATAATCTTTTGTTGCCTAAACTTTCAACAGTCATTATCAGTTTTCTTTAATGATCAGTTCTTCCTAGAAGTAAATTTTAAAAAAAAAAATCTTAATGGTAGTAGAAATATATGATTTTTGGCGTTAAGCATTTCAGTCTTCTGGGTTCTTTTTTCCTATATAAAATGTGATTATAGTAGATTTATTATATTAAGGGAAGATGTATAGCAACATGCATAAATTGCTGAAAATAGCATGAGGTTGCTTATAAGAATACGAAATGATAAAAGGAGAAAATACAGATCAAGGTGGGGCATAGTATTTCTTTGTAATAAATTGGGAAATAGTCTTAGTCTGGGGCAAAGTGAGAAAGGTAGTGAAAGCCAACTTCACAGTGATTTGGGTGGTTTTGTTTACAGTGTTTAGGAGTAAACCCATGGCCTAGTGTATGCTAGACAAGTGCTACAACCTCAGCCCCCAAATGGTTGGTTTTCAGACTGAATTGTAGTTTTGGGGAAATTATTTTATTGGGAAAGAGGGCTTGGTTGTTTAGTTTCTATGTTAAGATTCTATACTCTATGTAATTCAGGATAAGAACTTTAAGCAATTTTTTTATGCAGCTGCTTAGTGGGTATTTAAGACTTCAGAGCATATTCAGATATGAAGGTATTATTTAATGTCTTCAGTGAAAATTCAAATGTTTCATAAAATCTTAACATTAGGATTTCTACCTTTATGAAATTTAAAAATTTTTTCTTTAATTAAAAAAGTATGAGTCATTAAATGATCGACTCATTAACTTAAAAGTTAATTCATTAATTTAGAAGTCATAGCAAGCCTCAACATTTGATTTTTTTCAAAACCTCTTTCCATTCTAGAAAATAACATACATCCAAAAGGGGAAGAAGAAAGAAATGAGAAGGGAGGAGGAAGGTGGTCTTGGAAAAATAAAAGTAGTGCACCTTAACTTAGGTTCATGGACTTTAGTCTGATACATTATGTCTCTTTCCTCTTGAGATCTCTCTTACTACAGACATTCTTACTATCATGAGTTAAACATTGGCTGTGCTTGTCGCATACGAAAGCAGTTAAGCTGTTTGGGATTGTTTACTTGCTAAAGTCAGTGTTACTCAGCAGAGGCAGTACACCAGATTTTCTTGTGGCTTTTAGTGGAAAATGTTAAAAGTGCACTTATTTTTCAGTTATAGAATTTTCAGTTTGATTTGGATTAGTCACAGAACTGGCATGAACCTTCTAATTGTGAAGGCTGTCCAAATGCACTGTTTTTTTCTCCTACTAGAGGAAGTTACATCCGTTACATCCTGAGCAGTCATTCAGCTCTCTGGTAAGTGTAACGTGAGCATTACTAGGCATTTCATCCTGCGGGTCTTCAGACTGTTGCTCGGTCGAAATGCTTCTGCGGGACTAATTCTGAGGTTGTGTAGGTATTTCTCAAGGGCCTATTCATTTGAAGATATCAGTGGAATTTTGCAAGATCATCTGAGGAACAGGAAAGCATCTGAAATCAACTGAAAAGGATAACTGTAGCGGTTTTCACCAGGGGAGGAAACTGTATTGGCACAGAGGCAGATGACTGAATAAAGTAGTTGGCTCAGAGAAGATGTACAGTCTGCTGTTTTCCCTCTGAATGGGGACTGTTTAATGGAAGCTGAATTCATGCAGAGATGAAGGAAGTACTAGAGCGATAAACTACTCAAAACGAAAACTCCGAAGCAGTAATTGGAGCTCAAAGGTCTTCTGATTCTTTTGCTGTCTGCTTGTTAGAATTCTCCACTGACACCATTTCTGCCTGGTGCCTGTGTCTTTTTGCTGGGCAGCCAGGAACAACTGCTTGATGGAGAAAGAATGAAAGCTTTGCCTTGCTTCTGTTACTGATGGGATAAATCTGTTTCGACTACTGTGTGTGAAGTCTGGATTAATCAACTTGTATTCTCTCGTACCAGAGGTCCTGCTGTCTCCTGTGATCACGTGTAAATGTGCTGCAGCTTTGCCGTTAATGCGGAGTGGTGGCTTTTTTTTCTTTCGCCGTTAATGCGGAGTGGTGGCTTTTTTTTTCTTTCCTAAACACAGAAAGAATTGTCAACCCCTGAACTTCATTTTCAGGATTTATGCTAACTTCTATATTTTTTGTTTATTTGTTTCCTGGATAATATCTGTATTAAGTCGTTGAAGCTGAAAAAATGAAGACAAATTAGAAGTGGAAACAGAATAGTGAGATTCTGTTGTTTTTATTTTCAGCTACAAGCCGCCCAGCCTACTGGTAACTGTATGACCTTGTAGACAAGAGTGGGGCTATCTGGCCACCTCTATCTCAGCAGTTATTTCTGATTTCATTTTTTTATGGTGTGGTGTCATGTCACCCCAAACAAGGATTGTTTTGTACAAGTAAATTTCGGAGCTTAATGTAACTATTTTGGCAGAAGAAAAATATTTTTAAAAGAATTAACCCTAGACTTGCGCTTTAATTATTGACACATTGATGTGAAACTTTTTATAGATTGCAATAACCTGGCAGAAAGAAATAGGTTTTTATTTTTAGGAAGTTATGTGTCATAATTTTAAACTTCAGTTACTCTAATATTACTAACTATGAAACCAGCTGCACTGTTCAGAGAATGTTCATGAGTGATATACAGAAGAGGAGGAAGAACTGTGCTCTTCCCACTGTGACTTCTATCATATAGCGTGGAGTTTAATGTTCTAAAAGAGCGAATGAGTCGAGTGTGTATTGTTGTCTTGGAGGAGGTAGAAGATGATTCTCCTGTATTCATTTCTAAGTTGCCCCAAGAAAGTAAATCTCTACATTCTCCATTCTCTGGAAATGTATTGGTAAGCTATGAGAGTTTCTGTTGATTATATTTTATAGAGCTAGTTATGTAAATTTAAATTTGTAGTAGTACACTGAGTTAGATTTTACTAGCTTCATTAGAAACTCCAGGCAGTATGTGGGTCTGTATGATGCAGTATTATTTGTGTGTAAAATGAGTACATTTCTGAGTTTTTCTTTTTCAAATACTTAGTTTTCACTTTAAACTACATCTGTTCATCTCCTTATGAAGACTCGAAAATAAACCAAAGTAGTTATGAAAACATGTTCTTTGTTTTCTTGTGGTTTTAGAACTGATCTGACAGTCAGGGATTCTGCATATTTTTTAAAAGGTTGACTAATGCCAGCAATGTCAAGGCATAACCTTTTCTATAATGAATTTTACCCATTTTCATATAAAACTTTATATTAAAAAGGATCAGGGTATGTCCTTAACCTTATTGTAAACACTATTGTTGTTAACTAACCCTTATTTGACTAGTATATTATGATGCTTTGCAGAGGCTATGTAGCTGGTTAGGAGCTTATATTTAAATATGACATGAATATGTTTGTCTTTCTTGTTATTCAGATGTGTATTATCTTTTGGTCTTTGAATAGTAGTTATTTTTATCAGATGCTAAATTTTGTTTCTGGGATTTCTATCATATGTTATATACAATATGTATATATAAACATTATATATTATATTTCTATAGTAGGAATACCCATGTATGTTATTTTCATGCCCCGAATAGCTGTTTTCAAAATCTTCTTTCATAGTCTTCAGTGGATTAGGAATTGCTTATTTGATTGGTCCTATTCCAAAAATAGATTTGAATTATCAGACTTATTTGTATGTATGTCTTTTCATCATATATAAACACAGGGCTTTCACATAAGAAATAAAATGAGTGTCAAGTCTGTTACTTAATTTTGGTCAAATTACTTTTGAAAAGATTTATTAATTAATCTTTATTACACTCCCCAGGATGAACTCCATACTTTTAATATTATTAGGCTGCATGAAATATCTGATTTATGTTCCTTACCCCCTCAAAAAAGATTATGGCTACAGGGGGGGAAAACGCATTAGATTTAGAAATCATGCAGAAATATCTTTAAAGTTATATATATTATATGATCAATGTTCATTTATTTATTCATTTTCTTTTTTTAGCCGTCACTGGTGCAAGCTATATTTAATGGTGATCCAGATGAAGTTCGAGCACTAATATTTAAGAAAGAAGATGTTAACTTTCAGGTAAAACAGTTAATTCACTTACACCAACCTTTTTAGCCTACTTTAAAAAAAAACTCTGTCCTAGTATTGTGATTTTGTTTGCATGTTTTTGTTTAAAAGCATAATTTTGCAACAGTTGTTTTCAGTGAGGGAGGGAAAATCCTGCTCATGATCAGAAGAGATACACTGGACATATATAACGTACTATCAGAAAACCCACAGCTCCCAGAAGTCAATTGAGAGGATTTTGTCCTCTGAACTTTTTATATGAAAATTTTCAAATTCAGGAATATTAAAAAAATAGTCTCAAGACCCTTCCTTCGGTTCAGCACTAATAACATTTTGCTATCCTAATTCACAAAGAGTGTGTGTGTGTGTGTTGTGTGTGTGTAGATAAACGTTTTTTGTTGAACCATGTTTTGAAAGTAAAATGCAAATATGACATTTTATTCTTTTTAGATATGAGGGTTCTTTTTAAAACTTGACAGAAAAGATTTCTATAAAGTTAAAATGTATCTAATTTGTTTATGATATCAGGTGTGATTTCTGTAAATAATTGTGGTGAGAGCTTTGTGAATACTTTTTGTTAAAGTATATTTGCTGTACAAAATGATGGGCTTTATTAATGACATTTTTGTTCAAGTAAATCATGTACTTTGATTTTATTTACTCTCTGTTATCCTTTCCTACCCTCTTCCTTTTTCCATCCCTTCCTCTTCTCAAATAATCTTTCCATTTTCATGGGTCATATTTATGTCATTCTATGTAGATAGATATATACATAGATACATACACAGAGACTCTTGATTTCTAACTAGACTCAATTATGAGGGATTGTTTGAAAACTTTTTGAACTTAATAATATAGTAGCTGTAATATTCAAGGTTAACATGCTAGAAAGTGTAGAAAGAAAAATGTAAAATGGTATGAAGATTATTTTTTAAATATATATATTTATATATAACTTCTGAAATAGGGTCTTATTTTGTAGCCAGTACTGACTTTTTTTTAACTTAGTAAACTTGCTTAAATAATCTAATTTAGTAAGACAAATTAATTTCATTATTTTATAAACATTTTCTGGAAATAAGTATTCCTCTTAAGTAAGGATGGCATGAAAAGTCTCATGACTCCTAAAGTTGCTATAACAACACCAAAACAGATGTTCTAGAATTTTTTTGTAATTATAAGAAATATATACTACAAACATAATATACTACAAGCATATCTTGAACTCTTATCTCTCTCTTTAGTTTTATAGAGTACCATTTAATGTTAGATATTTAAAAGTTTATCTTTTTAAGTTCAGATTATCTAAATAGATATGCATTATTGACTCAAATGGTCGATTTCTAAGAACATGGAGTATTGACCTAGAGACTACTGTCATAACTTTTCAAGTGAATGGCTTCTTGGTTTATATTTAGTTGGAGAAGCATACACCTAATTCAGGATTTATTTATTTTAAGTGGAATGCATGGTTCACTTTACCTAATTAGGCTGTCTTAGCAAGTCCACTTTGCCTAGCACAGACAATAGTTGTAGGAATATAGATGTATGAGTAGAAGGGAAACAAATGTACAATCAGTGTCCCTTCTTTGAGGGAGACTGTAGCAGGTTCCTAGTAATAACAAAGGTTAAGTGTTGGAGAATTATGCTCCTTGAAACGCAGATTTCTTGTTTTTAAAGGTTATTTTATAAAAGTATGTTTATGCTGTATTTGCATGTGCGTACATATCGGCGAATCAATCCCACACCAGTTATGTTTTAAGGGGTTATTTATTTTGGGGGGTAAAACTTACATACACCATAAACCGTCAGGAAGGGAGCCTAGTCGCAGGAGCCGGGAGCAGGAGCCAGGAGCAAGCGCCGGAACCAAGAGGGCCTATTCCGGATATGCTTCTCTTTTTAAAAGAGAAATATACCACGCCCCAGTGGGCTGGTATTTCAGCAGCTATTGGCTGACGGAGCGGAAGTCGCTCCCCGCTGCACTGTGGGCTCGTATTTCAGCGACTATTGGTTGAGGCAGCGGAAGTTACTCCCACAACACCTCCCCCTTTTGTTTAATTAAGAGAGTTCTAAGCTTACTACGAAATTATATACAGTAAGTACAAACCTACACAATTATATACAATAAATACAAATATCCTATTCTATCTAGCTTAAGTCTTGTATAAGAAATAACTTGGCCACGTCATGAAAAGAAAGTAACTACGTTTATATAATCTTCAATCCCATCAAAGATCTGAGAAGGGAAATAATGTTACCTGAGTAATTAGGAAGTGCAATCAAACTTCCAGAACATGTAACAAATCACATAGACAACTGGCTACCTGGGCAAACACCCAAAATCACGTTTGCAGCGTTGAAGCAACCAACTTTGGCTAAGGCCTAACGTAACTGACATACCATTTTCAAAGGCAAGGAACTTTTCAAAACTTATCTTATCCTGTCTTGGCAGGATATGACAGTCCTGTTTTATCCATTTACGGATACTCTGTAACTCTGTCAGTAGTTGAGGTATGGGCATTTCTTTACCCAAAGGCCAGTTCTGCCAAGAAGAAAGGCTCCAGGTGGAGTGTCTATGGTGCTCAACATTCTCTCGGGAATAGATCAGTGTTGCCAGGAGCGATTGTGTCTCCCTACCACAGAACTCTGAGTTAGATTAAAGGCCATTTTCTACAGCTCTTTGAAGAGGTTGAAGATTATCTATCTATACTGAATATAATGTCTATGTATCTAAAGAACCTGATTAGTCTAATTATAAATGACAAACTTAGATGACTATTGATCTATATTATTCTCAATATCTATCTAACTTAAAGACTGAAATAGTAAACAACTGTGCAATAAATGGGGACAATATGACCTCCAAGTATAAACAATGTGCAAGTATACATTGCAATATGGTAAATATATATATCAATACATAAACAATATATAAGTATCTTAATCAGAGGTAGAAGTGTACAATGCAATATGGTAAAATATACATATATCAATACAATATATATATATATGTCAATACATAAAAATGTTTTAAACAGAGGTAGAAGCATGCATGCCTAAAATAGTCAACATAATTTAAGTTTGTATCAATATATAAGAATCAATACCTGGGTCCCTAAACCATACTAAAGAGCTTTTTTGGACATTTACAAAGGTAATACTTATGGATAGTTGTTGGTTGTTTTAGTTGCTACTAGCAACTAAAATATTAGTTACCTTTGCGGACGATCAGTATGAGGAAAAAGCTGCCATTCTTTTATAGATGAGTGTTAATCTCTATGATACTTGTGTATATATGTATGTATGCACATATGTTATATGTATATAAATGGAGATAAACCATCAGTGCCTTTCTGTCACTCTCTACCTTATTCTTTGAGACATGGTCTCACTGACCCTGAAGTACTGATCAAGCTAAACTGACTGTCCAGCAAGCTCTAGGGATCTGTCTGTCTATGTGCCTCCTACCCATAGTAATGGAATTATAAATGTGTTGTGTCTGTAGGTGCTAAGGATCCAAGCTCAGGTCAGACTTGGCTGCAAGCACCTTAACCCATTGATTCATCTTGCTGACCCTCATGAGAGCTCTTTATCACCCAATCATAATAGAATGCCTTATTATCTCTTAAATTCCTTCCCTACTCCCATTCACTGTCCTCTTGGCAGCATCTACACTTTGGAGAACACATTCAAAGCATTTTACCCTCAGTGCTCAGATCAGAAACCTCAATTTCTAGAAAAGCCATTTGCTTAAAGTTCTTATCATTAGAGCTATTCTGTCAAGCTGAGGTTTTATTATTGTATTACAGAGAGGAAAGTTAGAATTATAAGATTATCAAGCATAAAATCATAAAAGTAACTTAAGTTATGAAAACCTGGGGCAAGGACAAAGGAGTAGAGACAGGGTGGATGCTAATCACCATCATTCTGTACAATACTCAATTGAGCCAAATGTGTAGCATTTTATAATATAAAGCTTGCATTTCAGATCCTGCTGCCAGAATATTGGTACCTATAAGCCAGTGTAGTAAGTAACTAATATATTCAAAATTGTGCAAATCAAAATACTTTTATTTTGAGTCAAGACCAAAAGGAAAAACTTGCCTCATCCCACTCAAAGACTGTATTCACAAAGAAAATATTTTACTCTCATTACATAATTGAGACTCTCTACTATGAAATAAATGATTGTAAATTATTAAATAATATAGTTTTAGAAAACTGCTAGGAAGCCTTGAAATAAATCTTTCATGTCTTATAACCACTTGTAGACTAACTTCATCTGACTTGTACATTTAAAAAGAGCACTATACTATTTTTTCTGTTGTTGTCTTGGCACTCACGCCAAAGTTCTAGGCACAAGCAGCCACTCTTGGTTTTACATGTTGTAGGTTTAAATTTAGGTTCTCCTGCTTGTGTAGCAACCACTCTTGTACAGTGAACCATCTCCCCGGCTTTTGTTAGTTTTATAGAGAATCAAGGATTTGAATATATCTCACCAAAGTTGTTTCAAAGATGTTCTCCAATACCAGTAAAATATAATAAATGAACTATTTTAGGATGTGTCATATATGCTTTAAAGAAAATCAAACACACACACAAAAAAATCAGGTACAAAATGTAGGGCAAGTATTTAACATTAGTTTGGAAAAGAAATAGCATTCAGTGAAGGTTTGTAGTTTTATTTATGTAGAAACTAGGTTGCTTTTTTGCCTCTCCAAGATTACTTTATATGAATCTTCAGTGATTTCTTTAGTGTCCATATAGAATTAAATGAATATTTAAAGATATAAAGAGTGAGCATAATATTTTTATTTTTCTAGTAACCTTTTGAACTTAAAAGGATAATCTTTCCCAAAGGAATAAAACAAGCCAGTAGGTGTGCTTTGTTGTTTGGAAGGGGATTTCAGTGCTAAGGATTGGATTTGGATAGAATCTGACATGAGAGGCAAGAGCTGTTTCCCCAGGCCTTTTATCTATCTATCTATCTATCTATCTATCTATCTATCTAT